TATATATATAAACTTTTATGACACTGCCAAATAATAGAATTTCTCTACGTGAGAAAGGGTTTAATTTCACGTAAGTAATTACGTTATCATATAATCCATTGTAGTTATAATATTTGTAAAATATATATCTAATTTTACTTTTTAATGAAATATTGTTTTTTTATTTATCTTTTTTATGAACTATTTAATCATTATAATTATATTTTAATAAAATTATATTAAAGACTAATATATTTATTATTGTCTTGCAAAAACCTTTAAAATGCACGTGGGACGAGAGAGTATATGATGTATATCATAGTTATCTGTTGAACATGACATGCTTTGACTACTGTTATTTAGTATAACATCGATTTCTCACAATAAAATACACATTTCTTTATTCCCATAGACTTTTCTCATTTCCATCTCATTTTTGGTATAAAATTTCCTCCTCGACTTTGAACGAGACCAAGCTTGTGTAGCTTCAGAGGAAACTTCTCGCGGCACAAAAATTCCCCCATAATATTCTCTTTTACCTTTTTACCAAGTAAAAGATACCATATATACGTTATTCATATTACATTTTTTCATCCATATTTTATGTACCACATTCATATATAATACTACAAGTTTTATTAATGCTGTTTTATATAAATAAATTTAATATTTCATCTTCGTATATCTTGCTTTTTATTTCAATAATTTAAATCGGCAACTATTACCAAAATAAAATGTTGATATGGATTAGAAAGCCTTATTAATAATATTTATGAAAGGCTATTTAAATTTTATCCATGCATTTATGTTATTGAGATGGTTCACAATATATTATTAGGACCTCTATGATTAAGTTGTCTAGAGTTGGATCCTTACTACTTACTTTCCATTTCAAGGTTGAAAAAATAGAAGAGAAATTAGAACAAAACTTGTACATAATTTTTTTTCGTATATGTGAGCTATCATGATTGAAGAACAACATAACCCATACTTAAAAAATTGTGTATAAATTTTTTCTAAAAACTATTAGACGAGTTAGGATAACCATGATTTAAATTAATCTTTATATAACATATAATTGGTATTATTAGTTTTGGCTTGTAAATTGAAAAACTCGACCATATATATATATATATATATATATATATATATATA